AAATTTAGTGCGCTTTTTGGAAACGGGCTAGCTTCTCAAAAAAAAAAAAACAAAACAAGAGAAGAAACAAAAACTGGGGTGGTTTCACCATAGACCTTGTTGGAAGCATCCTTGCCCATGTCGAGTTCTATATTTCGAGTAGCTACTGTAACGTAGGAGGAGAGTCAATGGGTTCAATAGCTGAATCTTCATCGATGGGTATTGTACGACGCGATGACATGCCTTCCAGATCCCAGATCAGAAAACCAAGGAAAACAGTCCTTTACATGACCCCTAAAGTAAGTCCGTCATAAACCCTCAGTTCCAACTGGTATGTAAGCTACCGCAACGGACAAATACTACAAACACCCATACCCTCGAAAACAGCTTGAACTGGACGTAGCGACTTCGTGAAATGGATGTCATGGACGCTGACCCAAATGATAGTTCTCCATAGTACATCACGAAAAAAAGCTTATCAGCAATCGTTAAAACGGTTGGAGCCATCGCTCTGCCTACAAAAATTCTAGAGATTCTAGAAAAGCCACAGTAAGCTTACCTGACTCGGGGCATCTGCCGCTTCAAATCTTCCCAATGTCTGCAGCCTCTCAACCGGGATATATCACCAGTCCAAGCCAGATAGATAGAACGAGGAAAAATATACAAGCCTACAAACACTCACTCGACTTCATGGGATTTACCGGTGTTTCCTAAAAACAGATATCCTACGGACTATCCATTTATCGATTAGTACGGAAACTAGGCGCGAAAACTTTGTTTCAAATAAATGGCGCACAATACAAACAAGTCTAAAGCTAGAACTAACAGCCAAAAGGAACAGTAAATTGCTCCTAGAAAATTTTAAAGGCCAAAAAAACAAACAAAAATACAAATAAAATGCCTTGGGCGTTCACATTGCATTTCATACATTTAAATATGCACGTTACGACGTAAGGTTGAAACCAATCAATACGCACAGAATACGTGAAAAAAAGAACAAAAACAGGCGCCTAGAAAAAAAANAAAAAAAACCGGGTTCAGGCAGGAACAGATTGGAAAGGATTGAAAAGAGATTAAAGAAGCGATATCTGACCATTCCACAGGGACGAATCGACACCGTACTCTATATTCTAATGTGGGCACATATAAATTCATAGGGTACTGTAGGCTAGTACAAACAAAAGGATACTGTAAATTGGAAACCGGGACGAGATTACATGACAAATCATGCTGAATGTTTGTGTGGTTTGTACATATGAAAAGCGATTGCAATCGTATTCATGTGGAATGAGCCGCATCGCAACCGCATGCATCGCATACTGATCGCCACACATACATTGCTAACTGGGATACATGAATTACATGTGCTCCGACAACAAAGAAAATCAGTTACTACTCGATTCGATTGACCGGGTTCAATACATGGAAAAATTATTAAAAATTATACCTTAACATACCAGAGAACAACAAAGAAACCGGTGTAAAAATAGCCGAATCATGCTAATTGAAACATAAGCGTATTAATTGTACCAGTACAGCTTTTTATACTACTATCTAGGACAACACGACTTTCACGACAACATAGTCGCTCAATAAATCGATATATCGATCAGCGAATGAACGCAGTACACCCAGGGGATCCAATACCTATCAGTGCTAATGCAAGCCATTGAGTAGGCCTACTGCTGCTTGATGTAATTGACTTGTAGCGGCATTGAAATGATGCTGAGAAGACGATGGCGAGGAAGTGGATTGGTTATGACCGTTGCTGCCGCTCAGAGCCAACAGGGACGATACTGCGTTATTCGTACATGAGGAAGGAGTAACTTGGCCCAATGTCAAAAGATTCAGTTGGCTACAACCCGAGAACGACGACGACGATGTTGATGATGGAGGTTGAAGTTCTTGAAGAAGACCGTTTGGCGTTTGGAACTGAAACGACGTGGTAAGAAAGAAACATGAATAAACTACAGAAATACTCGGCACCGAACAATCAGATCAATTGAAATTTATCTTAATTGAAACCGATTACTGACAAAAGGTCATAGATAAGAAAACAGATATATCAGCAAGTAAACACTGGACTCACCTCGTTCCGTAACAGTTCTCGTTGTTGTTGCTGATGCTGCTGTGGAAGAGGGGATGGAGCTGTGGATGCCGTTTGTTGCTGAGTGGATGGCGAAGTAGCCATCTGGGCGTTATTGTTGCTCATCGAATTCGTATGGGTCGCTTCGTGGCCGAGTTGCTGCGATCGCTGCCGGAACGCGCGGCCACAAAACTGACAGGTGAACGGTTTGGCTCCTGAAAAGGAAAGCATGAGCAGCTACTGTCAATTCCTGCGGGAAGGTCCAAATGACTCGAAAAAGTAGCATATCAGAAGGTTTTGAAGGGATTTTGAGGGGTGTGGTGCATTAGGAACGAAATGGTCGCGTCGCGGTGTGAGGGGCGTCGCGCGCGAAGGAATGTGGCAGGATGCAGCAGTAGGTACGAAATACAAGAAAAAAGTACTAATAGTAGAATTATGCATAAAATAATGATCGCATATCGATTGAGATGTAATAAGAATGCTAGAGCTGTAACAACAGCGAGTGAGTGGTCCGCGACAGCCGCGTGCGGCAAATCGATTACCCAAAATCGTTCCTAACGCCCGTCTCCCGGTTTTGAGGTTTCGTTCAAGCCCGATACGGTACATGCATACACACCATCATATACATAATTTACCAAAAAAAAAATTAAAGGCCAAAAAACAAAATCTTACCGGTGTGAATTCGTTCATGTTGATCAACATGGCTTTTCTGTGTGAATCGCTTCGCACAAAAATGGCAAGCGTAAGGTCGATCGTTCGAATGAATGCGAAGATGCTGTTGTAAACCGCCACGAGCCTGAAAAAGCTTGCGGTACTGTAAGGCCACCATAATATCGAAATTACATTTAAAAACCCTAGTTGGAACTATAGGCCTTGAAACATTAGCCTAGCTCCATCAGTTACCCACGACACCTGGTCGTGTCTGCCTCAACTAAGTGCCAGCCGCAACGCGACCGCGCGACACAGTGTCATATATTGTGTACGCCACGCGGTCCACAACTCAGATTGCAGATGCTTACCGTGCTATTCTTATAAATAATTATAGGATGAATCCGATTATCTAACCTTAAACCGTTTTCCACATTGGGCACATTCATGTCCACGCATCATTCGACAGTCTGCCATATGCGTATGTAACTGAAAAATAATATGGTTGCAGATTGATCAATAAAATCAATACAGCATCTTATCACGTACCGCAGCTTGATCAGCCCATTTCTTTGGACAGAATTGGCATTTCAGCATACCATCGTGACTGGAGCGTGATCGTCGAACTGGTGTTGGAGTACCAGAACTGGATGTTGTACTCATCGCTCCACCGCTAACACCACTATCATTCGAGCAGCGTCCACCGTAACCAGCAGCTATAAAACGAATTCTACACAATGTTTTTGAGTAGACTCATTGCTTAACAATTTGCGATTTCTAGGGGTACGACATTCCAGGTGAGACAACTAGCTCAAATTCGCCGCGCAATGTGAACTTATTGGGCATAACGACACCAACTCTGCTTATATACTGACAAAAACAAGCTTTTTCGCAAACTCTCCTCCTTATACTTTAAGCGAGAATCAAGAAAGGGAATATTTCGAAACACTGTACAGAGAGTTACTACATCTACTGATCTTGAAGAGTTGGTCCATACTCGGGTCTGGTATCTTCTCCCCGAACGGGCGCGTCGTGGTCGTCGCACGTGATCGCGTGTTATGAAGGAAAGGATTCGAATCCCCAGTGGAAGGATTCAGAGAGTCGCTGCGGATGGGAATTCGGGGTGAAGTTCCGTCAACCCTCCTACTTGGATCTAGTAAGCCATCCCTCATAGTGGTTGGGTACCATTACTGGAAGTAAACATACCTAAATGCAGTGACATTGGTTGCATCGGCAGTCGATGCGTAGACGCTGTTGCAGAACCATTGGGACCTTCAACTGAGTAATCCGGATCCGATGGCTCAGGCTTTAGAGAATGATTCAGAATTGAAGCTACTGTCGAGTCAAGTGATGCATCTTAAATAACAAGTTATCATATTCTTGACCTTCAACCTTGCAAAACACTAAAATAAAAGCTCCAATTGAAGGCACGGTCCACGATAAAAATGGTTTTTGACATTTTTCCCTGTCAGGCCGAAAAACTCACCTAGGCCTTATAAGGGCTAAAAAACCGATTTGCCCGATGTACACACCCAAAAGAGGCCACGTTAAGACAGCCTTGCTTAGACGGCACCATCCACATTGAAGCTCTAGGACGCCGACAAATAGTACGCTTATATGGGAGACACCCAGACGATTATAGACAGTGACGCATTTATAAGAAACCTGCAATCATACGTCGTCTTTTTCTTTTCCAAGAAGACTGCTTTTCAGCTATGACCTATGCCGTCCGTACTACGAACCCGCCTCGTGGAAAGAGGTTCTTGCCATTTTCACCTCTGTAGCCAGCACTTTGCGCTATTGCGCCATATGACTTTTCGTCCAAACACTTCTATGCCGCTTCTGTCGTTATGATCTCGTACAAGCCTTTTTTACAATATTTTGAAGTATTTTATCTATTCTCGCACTTTCTTCGCCACCTGGACTACTCTGAACCGTTCTTTCCATCACCTCACTTGAACTAGATACCTCAGAATTATATTAACAGAGCCTTCGACCAACAGTTGAGATTCATTTCTTAGAAATTCTTTGGATTTCTGTTAAAACACGATATAAAACGCAAACTCAATCAAGGTTGAACAACAGCCTATGCCAACTTCTGGACAAATTCAATCATCTCAACTACCTTTTCCCTTAATTTGCTTCATTGCCTCAAATTTCACGAGCTTTGAAATCAAAATGATATTATATTGAAACTCTGTGGAGAACCCCTTGAACGTTACAAAGTAGAATCAAAAAAACCATAAAATTCGAAGAATGCTAAATAAATATCAGATTTTTCGGCGAAAATGCACATGGTGTTCATGAGTCGGAAAAAGGCGTAGCGCCGCCCATAGTTGAGATCGTCCCGCCCCTTTTACAAAAACCCTAATAAGTTGCTTGCCGTTACGACACCTCCAATCAAAGGCACCGAGATAGGATAATTCTAATTCTAGAATGCTTTACCCAACTTTTCGTCCGAAACAAAGAAAAACTTTCTTAACCTTAATATTATGCTACAAGTTTAACCCCCAAAATACGAAAAATTGTAAAAAAAAAAAAAGAAGAGCAGAGAACACTCACCGCTACTCTTCAATTGTTGTTGATGTTGTCGATGCTGTTGCTGATGAAGGTTTTCGGTGGATGAAGGGGAGCAGGACGACGATGATGTGTCACTCGACGAGGCAACACCACCGTCACACCTTTAACGATCAATAAGTCGACAACTTCCTATTGACAAACTTGAATTGGTAACATCAAAGTATCGGTAAATAAAAGATAAAGCGGCCAAGAATCACAAATACGCATTCTATTTGAAACTAACTTCGACAAATGCCACTAAACTACCGTGGTCAACAGTATCAATTGAACTTATTTAAGAAACAAGAATGCTGTGATACATAAGATTATAGATTACATAAGGTTGGCAACTGACCTCGAAACAATCACATTGTGAAGTTGGCAGGGAAGTGAAGGTCCTTGCAGTACAGTACGACCTGCTGAGCCCATGCTCAGCATGTCAAGCTCCTGAAAACGATTGCTGAGTTCGAGTGTTCTTTTCGAAGCTTACAGCTTTGGGACCACGAGGCTGACTCAGGGTTGAATGTACAAGTAGGATCACTAACTCCGCAAAACCACGTAGTATGAGGTTTTTCGATACAGGACCGTCATCAAATACACAAAGTAATGGGTCTCTGATATCTTCATGAGACCGTGGTCAACCCTACGCTTTCCTCTTGTTCTTTTATTACCCAACCTCCCTTCTTTTTCTTCATTCTCACCTACTCTTATCTCACTGGTTGTTTTCACAATTAAAAAGGTATACGCAAAAAGTCGACTTTCCTAAAATGCGCAATGGTCGCCAAAACAGATCTGGAGTGATTTTGACCACAGCGAGCATATTTTTTTGGTAATTCAAAAATGAAGACAGAAAGTTTGAATTCAGGCTATTGAAGATATTCCGCCTTTCAGCATTAGTTCATCCTAGCATAATCGGATGGCATACTTGAAGAAAATTTTTTAAAAAATGGATAAAAGAAATCCAGGAAGATGCAGTGCTTCCGGTGCATTGCCTTCAAATAGCATCAGTTCTGGTCGGCGTATAGGTTGAACTTGAAGAATACAAAAAAATAAAAGAGAAAATACCAAAGGAACTGCTTGAGCAAATTCAGTCCAAGTCAGACAGTAGGTACGTATATTCGAGCTAAAAATAGCTCCCGAATAACACCGACATTTCCGCAGACCAAGCTGATTCATCGTTATCGATGACGGATTATCATCGGTGATTGTAAAAACTTCGAATTTCCGTCATTCTAAGGATAAGTGCATGTAAGTTTACATTGGAAAACGTACGATGCTCTAGTGAACAATCTTAGGCAAAAGAACTTCATTGGAGAAATGTTCTCAGCTTCTTCCTACCTATCAAAAAAATAATAAGACCTTGGACTAGGAGGGGTGGGGGCGTTAGGCCCCGTTTTTAGCCCCGCTAGCCTTCCGCGGTTTCTGCGAACCATAGAAAATAGCGGTTTACGCCTCCGGTGAATCTTCGATGTAAGTGAATCACTCTCTCTAGATCCTATCCCATGAACGCTCACTTTTTTCTTACGTCTACTTCGCTCTCACCACCTAATTTACAAAACAAAAAATAGTAAAAAATTCAAAAAAAGTAAAAAAAAAAAACTATCGTCACACGCCGGTGCACCAGGTTCCATGACTGGCCCTCATGGAAGCAATCGTATAAGTATAAACAATATTCACACCACTTTTATAATAACAGTTTAGGCTTGTAAATATTGAAAGACCAAGTGATGGGGAAAGTTGCTACTCAGTGAATGCCAATCTATACAACTTTAGCGATTTTCGAAAAACTCTTAATAAAAAGTGGAAACAAATTAAAATTGGGTCATAACACCGGAACAGTGCTACCAACACATTCTGTAAGTGTTATAAGACTTTTTAATACCTGCTGCCAAGATGTTAAATAAGTTGTTATCAACTCACGTTTCGGCGTAATCGCCTTCTTCAGAGCCTGGAAACCTGTGTATTATCATTATCCATCCTTCATTCAACAAATAAACTTCAGAAAACCGGTTCCCTAGACTAGATTTATCGAGAGTCGAACATGGATACATTCTGTAAGTCTCAGTTTTTGAAAATTTTTAGGAAATTCCGAGCCGAAAGGAACAAGAATGTAGAAATAGGTGACATCACTTATTAGATCCTTAAACCTCCTTAAGTTTCCGTACTCTCTCAGAAATTTCTGACCGAAAAAAACAGCAGTATAAAATTGGATGATATCACTGCCATCGTTCTCCACTGTTCTAGTCACCCTCGCCAGATGATTAATTGGAAGTTCCCAGAGGAAAAAAAGAACGCTACACAATTAGTCGAAGAAGATCAGATTTTTCGTAAATATAAAGTTTGGTATGGTTAAATAGAATTCCCTGTCTAAGCTTACTCTAATGGATCAAATTCTATTTGATGACAGATTAATAGTCTGAGCATCGGCGGATTCAAAAACATCAACTTTCAAATTATTTACTTTAATGCAAATAACAATGATGGCACAACATAAAAGCCCCCTACTTTTCTTTTCGAATCAGACCCATTCTAGTCGCTATAAAAAGGAAATTCAGTCACGAGAACAGATCCAACATAGTTCAGGTGTAATCTGTAGGGGAGTGTGAGAAAGTGAGGAAGTGAAGAAAGAAGACTGATCAGTAGAGAGTATGATAGAGGAAGAACAAGTGTATAAAAGGGGTGTAAGAGTATGAATGAAGCATTCCTCCCTTTGTGGTGTACAACACAACACAACTCAATTCCTGAATCTCATCTCGCAATTCGAAAAGTTAAAATCATGTAGGAGTTCCTCAGAGGAACCGTCCTATTCTGGAAGAAGTCGGTGCAAAGTGGTCAGCATCACCTGAGAGGAACACTCTCAACTTCTGAGTCGACCTCAAGGGAATGCAACTGGTCTTTTGCCTTCTTAATAGGCTAGTTAAGTAAGAGGCAATGTTATGATTACAATGACAGAGGATGTTACTCAGTTATGAGTCACCTCAGATACTACTGCTGGACAAAGAAATCATAATCGAAGTGTCTTGCTATTTTAAAGTATCAGTTTGTGAAAGAACATGGACTTGCATGTTCCAAAGATATACCTTTTCTCATTGTTGGAGCTGAACTGGGAAAAATGCAGATAACATCGAAAAAAAAGAATATTAGCAAACCCTATTTTTTCTGGACTGGCGGATCAGTTGTGAAGGGTGTGAAAATGATGCTGAACACCAACGAAACCAATAACTGTTGGAGAATTTATCTCATAACTGCTGAATATGGAAGCTTTTGTACTAACTTTGTACTATATGAGAAGGATTCTTTTAAGTGATCAAAAATCTCATACTATTTCACAAGATGGGAAAGGGAAATGTAGCCAATGTTCACTCAATATGTCTCTTTGGGGTGCCCACAAATTTCAGTTCCACCTATGTATATGATATCCAAGAGGCACTGGCCTAAAAAGCGATCTCCGAACGTCAAACTAGTTTTCAACCAGTGCTATTTATCTTCCCAAACATGTCCGCGATTAATTAACTGACATGAGAGTAGTAGAAGAATCGCCTAACTTCATAAAGTTAAAATTCCAAAAAAAAGCAGGGGCATCCTGGTCTATCTTTGCTCACTATATGCTATCTATGCAAATCCATACATTGTAGAATCGAAAAAAAATCCCGTCCCGTAACTGAGAGTGAAAAGATGGGAGGTTACGGGGTAGTGCAGAGGCTAATGCTTTGTACAAAAGTAGCTCCCAGGTTCCATCCTCCCTAGAACAATTACAGTACACCAGATCTTTTGAGTAAGAAAACCTCGACTCGACCGTTGGTTGAGTCCCACTTTTCACTACATCAATGCCTATTCAAATCCGAAAGGCATTAAGATGCGTGGCTTATTTATGGAGATCAGTTTGCAGATCCTCACATTAGCTACAAATCCGATTGAAGCAAAGAAATTTGGATGTTTGTAACGCATGTTCAAATACTAGCAATGAAATCATGAAAAGTAATTTGTAACGCCTCATACTATCACCTGACGATCCCAATCAGCGGAAATCAAGAAAAGCAAACGACCCCCGCTTGGATGCAACTGCTGTCACGAGTACCAACGATCAGAGGTCATGCTCAAGAGCGTGAACTAACTGAGAGGAAACCACGATGGGAGGGAGAGGGTGGATGGGCGGTGGCGTGCTCAACAGGGTGGTGGTGGCAGTGGTAGAGTATGCACGGTCACTTTACGCCTTTTCCACGCGCCGACTGCTTGATGACGATGAACATACGTACTTCTAAAGTCAACAAAGGGCTTCTCCCGTGCTGAGCGCTAATCCTCAAATATACTACGTAGATCGTTTGGAAAGTACCGTAGTACTGAAGATATTAGTGGCATTGAAAAGATGGATCAGAAGCTTTACAAGGTTTCAAGATGATGAATATTAATAAATACCTTGTGGGGTTTCGGAAACGTCATTAGATTGCATGGACAGGAACTTATAAAACCTTTGCAACCTACCAGGTATTGAAAATCACCGAATTTTTCAAAGCAACAGTCATTTGCCCGAGCAAGGAGACATTTACGGGATGGGGTCTTTGTAGCGCAGTGGATTGGCATCGCGATTTGAAACCACAATAGCGGGTTCGAGCCCTTGCGAGACCAGAAGCTTTGCTAAGAAGAATTTAAGAATAGTAAAAAAAATACGAGTGGCCGAGAAAATCTTGACCCAACCAAAGTTTTCCTCCCGACCTTTTCTAGGTTTTTGGCCTAGACAGAATGCAATCAAATTTTGTTTTCAGGAACCATTGTGACTTAAACGCTGAACCTCATTCACCCTTCCTTTAAGTCCCTTCAAGAAAAACAAATTCGGAATCACACTAAAAGCACTGATACACTGAGGCAAAATACGGTATCCGGAGACAGACACGAGCCACAAACATTACTATTTTAGTATAAGTATATGAGAAGAAGTAAGAGGTCGCCAAATCGTGAGGTTGCCATGGGTCCATGAAATTTATGACCACATCTACCGTGGAGACGCTCTTTCTTCTTTTCTCAACGACAGAAGGAAGAATATCGCAAAAGAACTAGATCGATATTGCACTTCATTAAAAATCTCTCATAACGGAAGACACCACAAAAAGGTGATTGGACAAATGGAACGTACGTTAAACGTTCAATCAATAGTTATAAAAATCGGTAAAAAAATTTTAAAGTTTACAAAGGATAGAGGAACTGAGCTTGAGAATCGTTGAGAAAACCTTTGGAAAACACTACGCCGGATTGAATTTTCAGTCCCAATCTGTAAACCCGGATCTGTGCTCTCACACCTCCTTCGACCACCTATTTGAATCCTATATCGGGCACGATTACACTAAATTTGACCTAAAAAAGGCTGAGTTATTTGCAAAAGGTCGGACATAAGGCTAGAATCATTACAGAACTTGTATTTTCCAGGAATTGTGACATAATTGATGCCCTGG